CAGACCATGGTGCGCATCATGGAGGAAGATTCCGTGCAAATGGGGTTCGTCCACATCCTGCGCTTCAACCTCTATGTGAAGGTCGGCAAAACCGCGCTCAGCCGCACAAAATACGTGCCCAGGCCACAACTGATGTGCCGCCTCAGGCAGTACGTCACAAGAGCACGGCAGGAAGGCGCACACCCGGTGGCTGCCCCTCACATCTGGGCATGCTCGGACATTAATAAGGCCAGCATGCTGGAGAGCTTCGTGCATCAGCATATGGCTTGCTAACACTGCGAGCCGATCCTGATGCCGGCGGGCGGCGTGGTCCAGCACGAGACACGCGAGATTTATGACCTTGAAGCCTACGACGAGCTTCTGAAGACGCTCAAGCGTGGGGCGGCTCTCACCGTGGACCGGCTCGCCTGCGGCAAAGCCGCCTTGAGCCGAGGGATCGCCAAGAAGACAGAAGGCAAACCCGTGACGCCCAAGGAAGAGTTGAACGACTCCCTCAGGCTCTGACGCCCAGCCTGCTGCTCAAGCTTCTGCCGACTTCTTGTCGGAGCTTCCAAGAAGCCCTCACCTGTTGGCAGCTAGGGTTCATGTACAGCCAAAAGCAACCCTGAAACGACTAAGAGCCTGTACAGCACTCCAAAAAAAAAAAACAGGTCCTGGTCCTTTGCAGACCTGCGTGGTAGGGTAGTCCTTGACGACTCGACGTCGCAGTTTCTGGTGCTTTCCTCCTTGTCTCTCCTCGTGGGCGAGGTGGCTATCCTGGGCTTGTCGAGCACCTCCAGCGCCACAGTGAAGGCGCACACGAAGATCGTCGCGTACACTGTGGAGGCCCAGTCAACCCGCATGCCTCATCCGTCTCCTGCAAAATGGTGCTTGGTTTGAGGCGCAGTCCTTCAAAGAGGTGTTGGATGAGTTCCCGGAAGAGAGAGTGAGGCTGAGGGAGCATCAGCTGCAAGCAGTCTGTTGACCGCGAGCTGCCGCAGAGGATTCCCGCATGTCCCTCTTTGCCCAGGAAATCATGGAGAAACGCATTGCGAACACCCAGAAGCCGGTCGAAGCCAGAGCGAGTAAGTCCCTGGCCATGAAATCCAAGTGTCTTGGCACAGAAGCGAAAGATCTTGAGATAAATATACAAACGGTCTTACCCCAAAGACGGGGATCTACGTACTGAACCTGTCGAGGTCGGTGAACAAGTTCCTGAAAGTCGTCATCTCGCGGCGCACCTCCGTGGATCAGCGAGCTGATGCTTGGCTCAGGGCGTACAATGGGTAATGCCATTCGTATTGAGGCATTGATATGCATCGATTTTCTGGCGGAATGCCTCTGCAAAAGCCTGCCAGGTCAAGGGAAAGCGGGAGGAAAGTTGGATGATGTCTCAACTAGTGATGGACATCCTTTGGGATGCTGGGTGGACGACGGGGTGCATGTAGTCTAGTCGCGAAACTCTATTCTGCTGTATAGACTGTGCGTAGGTGCCGTGAGCCCTGCGAAAGTGGACAATGACACGAGTGATGTGAATGAGATTGCCACCGAGATATGCCAACGGTACGGCCGATGTTTCCTACAAGAGTCGCATTGAGGACACCACTCAGTACAAGCACTGGTATTATCAGCCTGACGATTAAGATCGGGTTTCGCGCACGGCGGGACATCGCGGCTTCGATCCTGCTTCGTCCGCGTTCCCCCTTCATTAGACCTTTCAACTTCTTAGTAATGTGGACCACATATCCACGGAATGTCACTGCCTAGGAAGCGATCCCAGTGCCGAAAGTGGAGTTCGACACCACCATCAGCGAGAATTCCAAAAGGCCGGCTTGGCGCGCTGCCACGTGCTCTTGACCTGATCTCGACTTCTCGCGTTGGCCAGGACCAAGCTCCCCGGACCTTCGGAGGGTCGAGCTTGGGCAGAGCAGCGGAAAGGGGCGCTGACGGAGGCCAAGAAGGCCTCGGGAGCTTCCCTGGCGGTTAATGCTTTCATGTCTCGATTTACTGGAATCGGTCGCTTCGGATGCGTTGCGGAATGCGATAATCAGCCTGCGTCTTCTGATACGATGCGCCCTGACCCAGAAGCTTTTTCAACGGTTGTGGCAGGCAAGCTGCTTTCTCTCGCTTTTTTGCCCTACAGTACTACAGCCATGCCTTCTCCAAGACCGTGAAGATTCAAGTCCGTTAGCAACGAGACCAATCCACATAATCAACTTGTACCGGCAGCGTAACAACAACTAATATCAACTAACATCAAGTAACGTAACAGACAAGTCATGGGCGGCGAAACTTGCACAAACACAAGCCCGAACCCACGTGCTTGACCTGACCTGCAGATACGCTGGCAGCGGATGCAGCTGTGCAGCACACGGCCGCCCCAGCTCCCTCCCATTTTGTTTTCAGTCCAGTTCCGCATGCATCAAGAAAAGCCGCTGTTGAGGCAGGCGCATGGCGACATGGAGAGGCTCCCAGCAACCCAAGGCCTGCTCCACAGAGTCGGGTCCCCAGTGCAAGTCATGCAAGTCTCGTGATCCCAGGCGTTCGCGTTCCCGATCGGCAGACCAAGACCGCCTCAGCTTTCCCCGAAAGACAGCTGAAGATGCCTGGCACGTTGGGAACTGCAGTATGAACTCTTCCTTCGGGGCTCCGACCTTTGAAAACGAAGCTCAGCTCCCGACACGAGGAAGGCGGCCAACGTCTATGGGAAGATGGTCTGGCAAGAGATCTTCAATCCGAGAAAGACGACGCTGACGCCGGTGATGATCACTGATGGCACCTTGGCCTTGGGGCAGTGTCTCAGTATTGTTTCAGGCCTTCCCCTTCCGTGGAGATGCTTCGATGCCAAGGTATTGCATCATCGCCAACAGAGCTGGAGAAGGATGCGCGGGAGCTGGAAGAAGCCTGGTCCCCGAAGGCCCTGTCGGTGCTTTGTCGTTGTTGATGCGCGGCAGGCCCTGGATGCCGCCGCACATGGTGCTGTTTCTGCAGAGTACGGGGCCGATGCTGTAGTGAATGTAAGACGTGAGCCAGCAGACGCCCGTTCAAGGCCTGCCGCCGTGCCGGTCACGGAGGCATCGCCGACCGAGAAGCAAAGGACGGTTGGCCCCTCAGTGTAGGGTTTCTGGAGTTGTGGTCGCTTCATGCTTCAGTTTTTCTTCCAAGGAGAGGGATGCACCGGCGCCCATGCCGCCTCCGAAGGAAAATTGAAGTTCGCTTCAAGGCCTCCACATACCATACGCCTCCGAAATACAGATAAGTGCAGGACGCTGAGAAGCGGCCCTCGCGGGCGGTTCGCTTCCGCACAGCGAGTGTGTCGAAGGCCCCATCCTTCGTTGACTCGCTGGGTGCTCTTTGTTTTTAGACCAGAGCTGCAAGGAGACTGAGACGGTCGCAATGCCCGTGCAGCTTGGCTGCAGTTGGCTCGCAGCATCCGAGACATTACGCTCGCATGCTCAGGGCAAGCCCCACAACTTCTGTCCGGAGCAGCCTCTCAGCTGCGAGAGGGATTTTTCGTGCCTCATCTCTTGAGTCAGCCGTGTGAGAAGTTGCGGATCATCAACTAAAGGTCTCAAAGCACACCAGCAGACATTTGCAAAAGGAGATTTGCAGGATTCGTGTGTGATGAAATCTGCCTCACACTGCCACTGCTCACGAGAAAAAAGTGTAGATGGTGTGGTCAGCCTGGCTGGCTGTTCGGGTTTGCACAACACGGATGCCAAGTCAACCACTCATAGTGCCGTTCGCAACTTGAACTACCACGAACATAGTTGTAGCAACTGTTGCTAGCAGCCTCAATTAACTGACTGACATTCACTTCCGCAAAATTGCTTGCAAGAATTTCGCTTTGGATCGATTCGAGGCCCTGACTTGGATGACGAGGCCTCAGCGCAGGCATGGGATGCACGTGATTTCAACTTGTCTTCGTGGGCACAGGTTGCCTCCGTCGTGAGCAGCGTGGTGGCCACGGCTCGCTCGGAGGATCTCGAGGACGAGCTTGCAAGCTTTGGGGTCGATCCTTGGTGGAGGAAGCCCAGGTGACAAACCCCGAAGGCTATCGAGGTCTGAGGTTCCTGCCACTCCTTGTGCTGCCGAGGAAGGCTAAGATTGGGCGTTGGGACGCGGCTTTGGGCTGGTGAACATCGCTGTGCCATTGCCATTGGAGCTCGCCAACACGGCAGCAGTCCATTAATGCTTATAGGGCTTGGCTGTCGAAGGCACCAACGCCAGAATTATGAACCGAGGCTTCTCCCAGGCTGCCTCTGATTTTACACATTTTCAGCTCTGGCTCCCAAAGGAAGCTGCAAGTTGTCTCGTGCGAACAGAGCTCATGAATCTGCGAAAGCAGGGGAGCAGAAACAGGAGTTTCAACTGGAGCACCCCGGCACGGCGGATTGTTTGCATGGGTCAGCTGCGGCTCTGAGCCAGACAGGGCTGTAGCCACCAGCCGGAGGATAAGATGCGTTTGCAGGCTCAGCAGCTGACAAGCCTCTCCCTCCCCCAGCGGGAGCTCTTCCATGCGAAGTTGACTCGAAGTCAGGTCCCCGGAATGCACCGCACAGCGTGCGGTGGTGTTGCACTGGGAATGAGATTCGACCTAGGTGTGAACTGGCAGAAGTACGATCCAAAGACTGAGAGTTACTCTGCCAGGATATGGAGCTCTGGGTGAATCAGTTTGTTGATTGCTGCCAATGGACTGTGGACGGGAGGACCCCCATGAACTCGTACGATGTGCTCAAGTGCAGCCAGGCACAAAGGTCTAGGTGAATTTTTCCGTTCAATTTGAGTGATGCAATGAGGCTTGCTTCCACCTCTTCGAGTGGTTGCGGTCGCTTCTCCCAGAAGAGGCGACCTCAAAGTACGAGGGGGGATGGCGACACAAGTCATTGGGGCATTAGGCTTGGTGTTTGGGACCCGAGAGCTTGCCCAGCACATGTGCGCGTCTGCGCACCTCGTTACGTGTTTGCGCAGAGGTCCGTGCTTGGGGGGAGCAAGAAGTTCGCTGAGACATGATGAGACTGCAAGGAACGACCACCTCGCTGTGTGGATATCGACATGCAGGCCGCAGGTGTGTCTCTGTGCATAAGTTTAAACCAGGGACAAGCTGGCGTGAAATTCGGAACGCCATGTTAGGAGATGCTAGACGCATCATTGACTGGATGGACTATCCTGGCCTATTCGACCCAGAGTCTCCCTGCGAACACGGTAGACTGTACGGAAGGGCGATGCTTAGATTCTCCACACACTAGATTCCAAACTATGGGTCGGGGCTCCACCCAAATCGAAACATACCACCCGAGAAGTAGAGCTATCTAAGAACTCTGGGGCGTTGTCAGACTTGTGACTAGTACGATAAGTGGCACAGGAGCATAGCAGTTAGCAGTCGGTAAACCACTCCAAGCCGAGAAGGCTACGTATATGTGACTTCAGCTTGTAAGGTGGTGCGACAGCTGTGATCGCAGTCTGCCGCTGTGGAGAACTCGGGGGCGTTGTCGTACTGGTACGGTACGCACCAGAGGAGCATAGCAGTCGGTAAACAGATCAAAGCCAAGAAGGCTACGCGACTCCAGCTTGTTCAGTGCTGGCAGCTGCACCAAAGGCTTCGACATGCCCCCTGCGAGCGACAGCTGTGATGGCATTCTGGCGCTTCGGAGAAGTCGGAAGCGTTGTCGTACCCGGCTCGAAACAGAGGAGCATAGCAGTCGGTAAGCCACTTGAATGGAAGAAGTACGGGTGTGTTTGTGACATTCGTTCAGCTGCATTCGTTCCTGTTTATATGCCCCATCTGGATAGGCATATCGAGAGCAAGAAGGCGAAGTCGAGCTGGATCGCCCATCACCGTGATGGCTTGCGTTGGAAAATGAACTTGAGCAAGCTGCGAGAGATTGCTGTCCGAGCACTGCAGAGAGTAGCATTTTGCACGGCAGGTCTGTGACTTCATGGACGGCAATCAGTTGGTCCGGCGTTGCGAGGCGGGCTTTCAGACCGCCTGACATAGGCTGGGTTCGTGGACAGCTTCATGGCAACAAAATCAAAACTCTGATCCCTGATTTGTTCCACGAGCCAGGATTTAGTTAGATGCAGGAAGATGTAATTGCCGGGACGGAAGCATTGCATGATTTCCCGGGTCAAGCGGTTTCAATGTCGCCCATGCCGTGGAACGGCGCATGCAGCGCCGGACAGATTCATGATGACTCGTCGCACGATTTCGCACTGTGTTCGCGAAGGATTTGCTATTGTAAGAGTGCAGCAAGGTGCGACATCACAACCATGCTCCTGGGACAACGATATGATGAGCTGCTCAGCTTCCTGCATGGAGGAGAGTCGAGGCGGAGCGTGCTGAGAGTTTCAGCACGCTTTGCCTGGACTCTTCTCCATGCAGGAGAGTCCTGGCTGAGGACTGCTTTCGGCGAACGTGACTCAGCCTGAGATGGTGCCAGCCTTGATCCAGTCCCCACCTTCAGCTCCTCTCACTTGGGCTGTTGACCAGAAGTGCCTGAAGCTGCACACCCTCCGAATGTCCAAAGCATAACCTGCTCTGCCGACTTCTACGCCACAAGCAGCATGGAGAAACCTCACGGGCATCCTGGTCTTGAAGCGCGCAGAAGACGAAGCCGCCCACGAAAGTCTCCGCACCACAGAGGATCTTCCAGTCCGTGACGTGACTGGAGATCTCATCGATTGCTGGCAATTGATATGAGATCTCTAGCTGTGGCGGTGCGGAACCTGACATGAAAGCTTCCAGCATCTTACAGCCGCATGCTGCACTGGAGCTGAACGGCACCGTCTTCAGGAAGTTTGCACGGGGGCTGGCGACCTCTGCTGGACCTTAGTTGGCCTCCTCCCGAATCCAAGACCTCGAGATTGTTGCGCCAGAGGCTTCGGCTGGTGTCCAAGGTCACAGCAGTACTTCGCATGTGGCGAGAAGAACACAGGGCCGGTCAGGTTTGCACGTGTAATTTTGTACTTATGTTTAAGTCTGGGGCCTTTCTGTTCTGAGGGCTTCCTGATCAGGAGGAATCCTGCTGAGCAGCCTCCTCCATCTCCCGTCTCCCCAACTGTAAGGCGTGTGCCGAAATGTGAATCGCCTGCTCGTTTGCTGACGCTTGTTTCCGACGCATTGCGCTGTGCTGCAAAGAAAACGGTTTGTGGAGTTTCGGCTATGGGGTTAACGAGCATGGGCTGATATTCAAAAGGATGTCGCCGAAGAGCCGATCTCGCCCTTCCTCATCCAAGCTGTCCGCTCCCCAGTGGAAATAGGAGCAGGTTATCATGGCCGTCTGGAGTGGACAGCAAACGTGGAGTGGCGGTTCTTCAAGTACTGTCTCAAGAGATGCACTGGGTGCTCCATCCTAGGATTTGGATGATCGCCAGCTCGACGACGATGCCGAAGTCGGGGAGTGGAAGTGCCTCCGAACCTGTCTTGCAGTACATGGTCATGGCCTGTTTTGTCCTCTGTGCCTCCTTTGAGAGGTACTTTGTCTTGGACCCCAAGGGGGTCACACTCCGAAGTCGCCCAACGTGAGCCCACATCTTGGTCCACAGGTCTTAAAAAGTGCCGAGGGCACCACATCCGTTGCAGGTACGAAAAGGCTGCGAAGTTAAAAGCACGGCTGGAGGAGGGAGAGGCGCGGGGTCGATTCAGGTCGGGGCTCAAACCTCGAGCCTCGCCCCTATACCCTAAAGCCTGTCATCCTAAATCCCAAGCACTTATGCACCTGTTACCTATTCAGCCCCGCAAAGCCCCGTACCCACCAAAACTCCGTCAGACCCTGTGTCAGGTGGTGGAAGTTCTGGAACGCCAGGAGGGCGCAGACACAGAAGCGACCTTAGAGGATGCACCTACTGCTTCTGTTACTGCTGCCGATAGTGGTCTGCTACTGCTAGTAGTAGTAGTAGTAGTAGTAGTAGTAGTAGTAGTAGTAGTAGTCGTCGTCGTAATGGTAGTGGTGGTAGTAGTAGTAGTAGTAGTAGTAGTAGTAGTAGTAGTAGTAATCGTCGTCGTGGCAGTCGTAGTGGTAGTCGTAGTGGTAGTCGTAGTCGTCGTCGTCGTCGTAGTAGTAGTAGTAGTAGTAGTAGTAAGTACTACGCCCCGCTCCAACACCGTCATCGCCGGCCCCACCATTTCCACCAGCGCCACCAGCGAAACCACAGCCAGCCCCACGACGTCGACTGGTGCTGCTCCTCCTACTACTACTACTACTACTACTGCTACTGCTACTACTACTACTACTACAACTACTACTACTACTACTCCTGCTGCTACTACTACTAAGGGTCTCGGCTGGAGCGGAAGGGAGCAGTTAGATCGGTTCACGACATGGCCTTGCGGAGTGCGCCTGTGGTGTTTTCTTTCATTCTGCTTTTGTCTGATCTTATGGAGCATTTCCAGCTGTGCCGGTCCCAATTCCGGCAGCCATCGCTATCTACGCAAGAACGATTCAGACCGAACGAGGAGATGGCAGACCTGAGGGTTGGACGAATTACCGCAGATCGTCCAGTAGTCCTTGGAACTCATGAAGCTCCTCGGGCGAAACATTTCGGGGAAGGCAATCAAACTTCTACTGCACCCCACTGGACAAAGAAGCGCGCTTTGCGCAGAGCCCGAAACAGGGCAAAGCAGAACAATGGAACGATGTATCGTGGAAGATGGCACACCCCGGCTATGCTGGGAGTGCAGATCGCGGCCTCCGAGGTGACAGTCCAGGACAAGAGAGAGAAGCTGATGCCACCAAACCGGAACGGGGCGCGACGTTTACGTTTCATCTCTTACAACATAGGTGGGTTGGATCCTACGGCCTTTGACGTTTTTAAGACTTGGCTCACGGAGCAGAAAATCACCGATGTGGTGATAGTTCAGGAACTGCACTGGGGATGCGGACGTGAGGACACGCAGTGGACAATGGACAATGGCTGGAAGGCCTTCATCTCAGCAGACCCAGGTAACCGCTGGGCTGGGGTGGGAATTTTCCTTGCCCCCTGGTTAACGCAGAATGCCACCACATCAGCATGTACGTGGAGCCCAGGAAGACTCCTTCACGTACGCAGCGAGTCCGATAGACTGACTCTGGAGGTTATTGGGTTTTATCAGCAAGTGAGACAGGCCAAGAAGGGTCAGGTCAACGAGAATCAGAGGCAGCAAAACTGGGTCAAGTTTGGCAAGCTGCTGCATGGCCTGCCGCGCCGGAATCTACTGCTGATTGGCATGGACGCGAACTCAGTCTGCGAAAGCCTGCCAGGACTTGTTGGACGTGGGGTACTCAAGCAACCCAATCGCCCTGCGGATCAGGAGTTCATGCAGCTCATTCGCGAACATGAGCTAGTAGCGTTAAACACCTGGGGTAGGGCTAATCCCAGTAGCTCCTGTACGTATGTTAATGGCAGTGCGCATACACAGATCGATTTCGCTTTAACCAGGCGTGTCACTGCGGATCAGTCGTCGCGCGCTACCAAGCCAACGTTGCTGGATCTGGTGCCATGGAGACTCGGCCCCAAGCATCGACCGTTGGCGGGGAGCATACCGCACATAGCAGGCTGGGCAGTGCAGCGACACACCAAGGTCCCTACCCCCAAGCTCTCAATCCCGTCATTGCGTGAGGCCTTCAGACGACAGGATGCACGGCTTTGGAATGAGCTGCAGCCGCGGATTAAAGCCATTGTAGATTCGCAGACCGAGGTCAACTTGCAGACTATAGCCAGGGTGATTAAACTAGTGCTAGGACTCTGCGCCAGCTACTTCCCTCGTAAAGGCAATGGCAAAACCCCCAAACCCCAGCTTGCTGTTGAACAAGAACTCACCCAAGGCGTACATAGATTATGGGACCTGCATGCGAAGCTACGCGAGATGCGAGCGTCAGCCAGGGCCAGCAACTCGTTTGCTGAATGGCGTGCCTTCGAGGCGCTGTCACAACAGTATCGCAAGCTCAAGCACCAAAGTCGACAGTTGCGCAGACAGCGGCTCGAAAGACACATTGACGATGCACACCAAGCAGCCGAGCGTAATGACATGAGTGAAGTCTATCGTATCATTAAGGTCCTCGCCCCCCGTAAGAAGCACGCCCCCACCACAATCCGATCACCAGATGGGCACATGCTGTCACAACAGCAGCAGTTTGAGTCCATCCGAGCATACTTTAAGGAAGCCTACGAACGGACTGATCACTTTGCTGCTGCAGAGTGCACAGAGGCACTTTGCATCGAGGAGGCAGAGGTATCCCAGGCCATAGGCAGCCTCAAGAACAATAAAGCAGTGCCAGTGAGCAGCCTGCCCGCAGAGATCTGGAAGCTCTGCCAGCCTGAGTTCGCCTCGCTGCTGCACAAGGTTCTGCATCAGGGAGTTCGCGAGGAGTACCGATACCGTAAGGAGATCTCCAATTGTAGCCTTGCGCTCCTGCCCAAACCGGGGCGACCCAGTAAACAGCCAGGTGACCTCCGGCCCCTAGGGCTCCAAGACCCCAGTTCTAAGGTTTACGCCACGGTTCTTAGGCATCGGATAGCTGCGCAAGCTCACGAACTCCTTGTCAGCCGGCCGCAATTCGCTTACAGCGCGGGCAGGTCCATCGACTCAGCCATAGTCAGGGTCTCTAAGCACTGCAACCAGGTGCGTGCACATCTGAAGAGGCATGTGGTCAGTGTCCACGATAAGCGATTAGGTAGGCAAGCCCTTGGTTGTGTAGGAGGCGCCATGATAGGGTTGGACCTGTCAAGAGCTTTCGACAAGCTCCCGCGCTGGGCATTGCAAGCATCCTTGGAGCATGCGTCAGTTGAGCCGGCCATCTGTCGCGCAGTGATAGACATCCATGAGCAGTGCACATACAGTATCAGGCACGGACAGTATGAGGGTTGCATTGACATGAGGCGGGGAATCCGCCAAGGATGCTCATTGTCCCCCAGTCTGTACACCATATTCACGATATGGTTCTTCGACCGACTCTCTGACATCACCTCACCAGAGTGGGCCAACGCGTGCGTTACCCTTTTTGCAGATGATTCACATCTCGCATGGCTCATCTCGTCGGTAGATGACCTGGAGTTCGTTTGTACCTGTATCCGTCGCGCCATACAGCTCTTTAGGTCTGTGGGAATGGATATCAACCCTTCTAAATCAAAATTTGTTCTGCAGATCAAAGGTATCACGGCCAAGAGATGGGTACAGGCGCACCAGCAGCAGACTGCTGAAGGGCCAGTAATCAATGTTGGTTTGCCTCATGCGCC